CCTGCCTACCCCCCCTGTGGGCCCCGATCGACCCCCGGGGCCAGGCCATGCCATGTGCCTAGTGGCCACCCTTTCCAAACACCCGAGCAGCCATGCCAGGAGTGCCGGGAGAAGCCCAGAGGGTAAGATGGATCTTGCAGGGTTAGCTGGACTGTCCCAGGCCCGTGCTTTAGACCACTCACACCCCCTGCCTCAGTTTCCCCATCAGTACAAGGGGGTGACAACAGACATGTCACTCGGGGCACTTGCTCAGGGCTTTGGATGTGTGACACTGCCCTGTGCTGGCTCCAGGGCCCTGCCATGCTGGGACAGACCCTCTGCTGGCTCCTGGGAGAGGAAAAATGCAGGAGAAGGGGAGCTAAAGCCAGCCCAGCCCAGGATCAGCTCAGGTTCTCTCTGTGCCAGTCCTGGTCACCCATCCCCTGTGCAGGCAGCAGGGCCACAGCACTTTGCAGGGAGCCCGTCGGACTCTGGCTGGGGCAGACCCCGCTTGGCCTCTCCCTGAGACATTCAGCTCTCTCCTCCGTGCCACCGTCCACCGTCTCCTCGCTCCCTCTGTGCCACCGTCTCCCTGCTCCCTCTGTGCCACCGTCTCCTCGCTCCCTCTGTGCCACCGTCTCCCTGCTCCCTCTGTGCCACCGTCTCCTCGCTCCCTCTGTGCCACCGTCTCCCTGCTCCCTCTGTGCCACCGTCTCCTCGCTCCCTCTGTGCCACCGTCTCCCTGCTCCCTCTGTGCCACCGTCTCCTCGCTCCCTCTGTGCCACCGTCTCCCTGCTCCCTCTGTGCCACCGTCTCCTCGCTCCCTCTGTGCCACCGTCTCCCTGCTCCCTCTGTGCCACCGTCTCCTCGCTCCCTCTGTGCCACCGTCTCCCTGCTCCCTCTGTGCCACCGTCTCCTCGCTCCCTCTGTGCCACCGTCTCCCTGCTCCCTCTGTGCCACCGTCTCCTCGCTCCCTCTGTGCCACCGTCTCCCTGCTCCCTCTGTGCCACCGTCTCCTCGCTCCCTCTGTGCCACCGTCTCCCTGCTCCCTCTGTGCCACCGTCTCCTCGCTCCCTCTGTGCCACCGTCTCCCTGCTCCCTCTGTGCCACCGTCTCCTCGCTCCCTCTGTGCCACCGTCTCCCTGCTCCCTCTGTGCCACCGTCTCCTCGCTCCCTCTGTGCCACCGTCTCCCTGCTCCCTCTGTGCCACCGTCTCCTCGCTCCCTCTGTGCCACCGTCTCCCTGCTCCCTCTGTGCCACCGTCTCCTCGCTCCCTCTGTGCCACCGTCTCCCTGCTCCCTCTGTGCCGTTTGCCCCAAAAGTGGTATAAAGGGGGCCATGTGAGGTGTCAAATAGAAGCTTACTGTCTGCTGATTCTCTATATGCTATTCATGTGATTGTACAATGTCTCTGTGTGGAGTTACAAGCATGGACTTTGTATGAGTGCTGACTGTTTCTCTGTATGTGGTTGAGCATTGGGCAGAGCCCAGCCTATGGACATGCTAATTAGCAAGGCCCTGCGGAACAATAGCACTCAATAGGCCAAGGACACACCTCGAGAATAGGGACTGACACCTAAGGGCTACCAGCAGGGGACACAGGGATAGGCCACAGGCCAGGTGACCTGCTGCAGCCAAGAAGAGATGAGGAAGGAGGGATAAAGAGGCCATGTGGCCGACTCCAGCTGGGTGCTCAGCTCAGCACTTCATCCCAGAGGCAGCCGTGCAGGGATCGAAGAGCCGGGAAGAACTGTGGACCCATCCTGACGTAGGATGTGCACCAAAGTCTTTTAAGCCAGCAGCTGTAACATCTCTGCTAGAGCCTGCGTCGAGAACTGGGAGATTCGGTGCATGTAATGTACGATACTTTAACAGCCTCATTCTCATGCTTTTCTTTCTTGTAGTAATAAACCTTTAGATGTTAGATGCTAAAGGATTGGCCCAGCGTGATTTGTGGTAAGGTCCAGAGGGTAAATTGACCAGGGATCTGTGGCTGGTTTCTTGGAACCGGACAGAACTTGTTCGGG